CCACTGCCTCCAGGATGCCTCATTTCCACCACTAACTCAGCCCTCAACCACCTCCCCAGTGCCCCTCCCCAGAGCTCTCCAGGGAAGCACACACAGAGTCTGAGGCTGGCTGTACAATGTCCCCCATAGTGTGAGGCTCAGTGGGGTCTAGAGAGAGAGACTGCAGGAAATGAGGGCTCAGGGCAGAAGGTTGGAGCTACGTCTGCTTCTGGGATAAAAAGGGGGCATGGGGACTGAATTCACACTTTGGTAAAAAATGCATGACAGTTCTGCAACAAATGAGACCTCCTGACTTGTTCAAAGCCAAAGTGATTCTGTGCACATGAAACCATGTGTGACTCCTATTTCTTCAGAATCACAGGATGCTTGAGTTGAAAAGGACCCCGAAGGGTTTCAGCACACTGGGTCATGCAGACACAAACAGGGGAGTGACAGAGCTAGTCAGACATTACAGTGGTACACACCATTGTCCCCAGCTCTGGGCGGTGCTGGTGGCCTGCGCACTCCCCTGCTGACCTGTCTGTGCTACTCCACAGGCTTTATGAGCTGGCACCCAGGGCTTGTGAACCCAGTGACTGGAACAAACTCCACGATGAGTGAGCACTGGTTTTGACCTCACTGCCCTGCATAGGCTCCGTCCTCACGGCCCTGTGGCTGGCCTGACCAGTCCAGCTCCTGACCACAGAATGAGGAGAGCCCCTCCACGAGGGAGTGGGGCCAAGGAAACAAAGGCCTAGATAGAAACACAGAGAGAGGAGAAGGGAGAGAGGATGTAAGAAATTCAGAGCTCCATGGAGACCTCGAAAGGTCTTGCAGGTACACATACACATTCACCATGCACAACCCACCACCATCCACTGCACACACCATACACACACAACCACATGCATGTACTGTACATACACCACATTCAACACCACACACTGCACGTACTGTGTATATACCACTCGTACATCACACACACCACACGCATACATACATAGGCACACACATCACACAATGCACACATAACCTACACCACTCACAAAACATATTATACAAGCCACACACATGCACACACCATACGATACAGCACACTCCTCCACACACCACAGACATACCTCACCCCTGCTCATGTACATAACCCCCATACCTTAACGCACACCACACACATGCACCATACATACCATACACACATATCACATATACATACCAAATACCACATGCACACCACCCAAGCATGTGTGTGCACACACACACACATATACATGAGCACAGAGATTAAGACTGAGGGAGCAGGGACACCTCTGCAGAGTGACACAGATAAGATAGTGAAAACCCACCCGGACTGAACCCACTGACCCTGGGTGGGTGGGGAGGCAGCTAATCGAACATAGAATGAACAAAATGAGACCCAAAGCCAGAACAAAGTTATATACGTATCTACTTGTTTGCCCTAAATCAGTGGTTCCCAATGGAGGATGATCTTGCCAGCTGGGGGACTTCAGGCAATATCTACAGAAACTTTTGGTTGTCGCAACTGAGGACAGGGAGAGACAACTGTGGTCACCTGGTAAATGGAACCTAGGATCTACTAAGCATCAAGAGATGCCTGTCCGACAGGCTCAGGCCTGAAAGAAGGGTTATTTGTTCCAGAATGAAGCGTCCAGTGATTGTGCCTGAAAGGCAGGATGTGTGTCCTAGGCTCCGAATCGGGGTGTGTCCCAGCTGCTCCTGCACCTGCACTGACACACATGGCTGAAGGCCTCTGGCCCCGCGGGGGCCTTTCAGTTGACTCCTGAGGACTTCACTGTTGCTTAGAGTTTGAGGCTCAGAAGCCCAGCTTGGGGCAGGCAGGACCGGCTAGAACAAGCTCCTCTTGTGCATCTTGGCTTGCTTTAGATCTGTCCAGGTGGATCCTCCCTCCCCCATGGGTCCTGCTCCCACCAGTTCTCCCCAAGGCATGATGGGAAACTGCCATAAGGTTGAGACAGACTAGATGTCAGCCACCCCTAGTCTGTGCACCTGCTGTTACAGAGGGGACCACTGAGCGGGATGGCGACTACCAGCAAAAAAGTTTTCTCCCATTTGAAGTTTGGGCAAGTGATGTGAATGGGTGTGAGGGCAAGACTCACAAGCTGAGGTCAGCCCCTGGGACAACCCTGCTAGGCGCACCAAGCTCCCTCCCACCCTCCAAACTCCCAATCCCAATGTCCGTGGCCTCCTACTGGTGGACACTGCTCAGCTCTGGGTTGCAGAACTGACTCTTCTCCCGCAGTGGGCTTGGCACAGTAGTGGAATGGGCAGAGGGCCATGCCACTCTCAGGATGCTTTCTGTCCCCTGGGAACCTCAGTCCTGGAACTACATCCTTCACACGTGAGGCTGGGAGTCAATGGGGTGTCATTGGCCCTCGGGTAGTGCTGCCGCCACATGGCCCACTCCATTACTGTCCCAAGTGCATGATGTGGGTCCCGAGGACTGAGATAATGGTGCCACCAGAGCCTGTTCGCAGCAACTCATACCTCCCTTTCTTTGCCTCCACCCCACTGTGAGTCCATTCTCAATTTCCTGTCATTGGTCCTTGCAGCCGACCTGTGAGAAGGCAACTCGAGGGTGGAGCTGCAGGAGGGAAAGAGAGCTGGAAACTGACTCCTCTTCCTGTCCTCCCGATTCCCAGCACGACACACCTCATTGCCCCATCCCTACCCCCACCAGGGACTAAGCTGGGGTCTTTTCCTGGAGCTGAGAAGCATAGAGGTGTGGGCAACAGGCAGACAAACACTGGCTTAATGGGCCCAAAGGTCCCGGGGTCAAGGTTTGGATTCTAGCACCTTCCCCCCACCCAGACTGAACCCACTGACCCTGGGTGGGTGGGGAGGCAGCTAATCGAACTGCACTGTTTGCTCAGGGCTGTATGGGCTGGCCTTAGGTCCAACAGCAGGAACACAAGTAGCTTTCCATTTAAAGGTGGTTCTTCTATGCCCCACCCACAGAGACACCCCACCCTGCCTGCACCCAAGTACTCCCTTGTCCCTACATATGTGCTCTCATACACACACACACAGAGTCCATACAACATGTATGATACACACCACATAACATGCACACACACCATACCACATGTGCCATACACGGACACCACAGACACTTAGGACACACTGTCATTACACACATATGCATAATATCACACACAGCATGCACACTATGTATCAAACACTCAGCACGTACACACAAGCACACCAGAAACATACAGCACGTGTTGCACCTCATGTACCATGCAGTCGTACATAGAACACACATAACATCAAACACATAGGCATCTCACCTCCTCACCACCCCCACCATATATACCATGACGCTCATCATATTCACACCAGACAGGCCATACCTGATATACATACTCCACACACTCTATACACACATACCATACACACCAGACACCATAGACACATCACATACACAGAGCACATACATACCACACACCACACACGCACACACACACACACACACACGCACATATACAGAGGCAACACACATGTGCACGCACACCATGCATACCTTACAGGCATCTCACATACACACATACTGCCATGGTTGCAACTTCCCACTCGCTGTATCTTGAGACAGAAACAAAATATTACAAAGTTAGAGGGAGACCCCATGCCTGTGACTTTAAACACCCAGACACCTGCTCCAGGCCGGCAGGCCCTTGGCTGGCATCAGGGCCTCCGCTTCTCTCCGACAGTGTAGATAAACCAGAGGGTCTCCCTCGTGGCTCCCAGTAGCTCCTGATGGCTTCTGCTGAGGCTCTCTGTGGCAGGATCAATGTGGTGGGGGCCCGGGGGGGGGTGTCTCTGCAACAGCATCCCTACGTGTGGTGGGGGGGAGTCTCTCACTTCTCTGCTAGTTAGGGTGGAGTGTGGGATGGAGCAGAAGGGAGGTGGGCTTCAGAATCCCGGTGGATTTGGACCTGGCCTCTGCCACTCTGTGACCTTGGATGGCTTATTTCATCACTTTGAGCTTCAGTTTTCTCTGTGGGAAAATGGGGACAAGAATACCTGCCTCACAGGTTTGTTGTAAGTTTCTGTGGGAACACTCAATTAAAGGACCCAGCACCCGTAGTGGTGAATCAATGTGGCCTCTACCAGAAGGTTGCGGGATAAAATACTTGATAAAATCTGGAGCATTTTTATACTAATTTTTTTTCTTTGCTGATTATCTGGAATTCTAGCTTGCCAAGCATACTGTATTTTATCTGGCACCACGTCCACTGAATGTATGTGGTGTTGGGGAGGCGTCTCCAGCACTTCAGAGCCCAATCTGCCCACAGTTAGGTTTGGGGCCCTGGCTAATGAGCCATGGGTGAATTTTACATCCTTAAAGGTGGAATCAAAACAGAACAAAAACCCACACCCCAAAAAACACAAAACAAAGACGAATGTGCATCAGAGACTCTGCCAAACTGGGAAATCCTATACTATCCGGCCCTTCACAGAGTCAGCTTGTTAACCTGAAGTTGGTAAGAACCAAGAATCTTTGCTATTTTGATACCTATCCTAGGCCCTGCAAGAGGTTTAACCAGAAAGGTCAAGAAAACCTAAATCTCCAGAAAAAGGAGTCAAGGAGGCCCAGAGAAGGAGGGGAAGGGGACTGACAGAAAAGGCGCTATAAGGAAGGGTGATCCTTCCTGCAGCCCCTTGATCCTGGGAATGGATCTGGCCCTCCTCCTCTTCTCAGGTGAGGCTGACCTGTCCAGGCCTTCCCAAGACAGGTCACTGGTTGTCCCAAAGTCCAGGGGAGAGCTCTCTAATCTCTTTGAAGGCCTCCCCTGCAGAGACTGGCCTGGGGGCAGGGAGAGAGTCCCAGGGTGGAGAAAGAGAGGAACTGACGCAAGGCCCCCAGGTAGGCAGGACTGCGGGCCTGTCTCTTTAAATCTCAGGTAATTTGGGAGGAGAGAGGGAGTGTCCCTCCAGCTCACTCCCAGCAGGAGCTCCAGGCAGACCAGCCCAGCAGAATCCCAGCTCTGCCAAGAGTAACAAACTCCAGCCCTCTGCAGACAGCTAGGCGGCCACAGGGAGCTTCCCAGGGCCTTGAAGGAGAAGTAGGAGACGGGACCTCTACAGGGAGAGGGCAGGCCGGCTCTTGGGGTTGCTGATGTGGCCCCAAGGCCGAGCCCAGTCGGGGTCTGGCCTCAGCCCCCCAAAGAGCAGTTTCTGCACTCCATGGGGTTGTCTCTGCCCAAGGAGAAGGGGTTAATTCTGTGCCTATGGAACAAGTTCTGCAGATGGTTCCACAGACAGGAGTCCTCGGCTCAAAGCCGAGATGAGCAAAACCTGCTGCAGCAGAAGAGGTAAGTCTCGCTGTCTACTCCCCTTCCCAGCCCCGGGCTGGTACCCCCGTCAGCCCCCTTCACCCCTGTCTTTATTTGACCCCCCTCCCCGGCTGCACAGATGGTGCTCCACGGCCTGAACGGGCTCCTTGGGCGCACCTTGTCTCTAGAGTCTTGGCCTGTGGGGCTCCCTGTCTGGATGCCAGGTCACAGAGGAGTGGCTACAGGGGCGCAGGTGTCCATTATCTTCACAATCTCATTCAATCCCAGAGCCTTTAGAGAGTACCTCCCTAATGGAAAAGGGAATTCCCTGGGCCTTGTGGCACCTCAAAGGTGCTAGCGGGTCAGGTCAAGCTTCATATATTCTCTTCTCTGTGCCCCCCAAAACAATCTCTATGGCGGAAACACAGAGCACACATGCATACATGTAGGAATGAGGGCAAGGCCGAATGAGTAAAGCTGAAAGGGGACTAGTAATCACTAGTAATCACACATAGGACAAAATGTGAAATAGTTATCTCCGCATTGATCTCAGACCTTGACTAAGGCTGAGCTATCTTCCAGGCACTGGAGGGGGGGGGGCAGGCAATGGGTACCTGGCCAAAATACCAGATGTGCAAGAGGACCAGGCTCACCCACATTCTCATTCAGGTTGGGGGATTTGAGAGGCTCTAGAGTTTGAGTCCTAAGCAAATCTCACTGTTGCCTCCAGTCCTGAAGACCTCTCTCAACTCCCTTGACTCCTACGCTTCACCCCCCAGTGCCAGCTCAGAGCTGGAGTTGGGAGCAGGAGAGAAGAGAATCCCCATAGGATCTTGGAGCCATCCTGCTGTGTCTCCCCTCCCAGGTTTCTAATGGATTCTCCCACCCAGTTGATGACAGCTAGAAGGAAGTTCAGAACTTTGGGGTTTTCCCTGGGCCCCTAATGCGGCAGATAATATGTCTCTTCATACAAGAAAAATCTGAAGGTTTTGTGTCTTGGGGTTTTTCTCCGTCTCTGAAAGCAGGGGTCTGCCTTGGCTGGCTGGAAAGCTGCCTGGGGGTTTCCTCTGCTTTGCTCAAGAATTCTGGGCTGGGATGTGCCCTTCTTTGAGTTGTGACTTCCTGTCTCTCACATCAGCCACCCACCTCTCTCCCCCCAGGCCTGGGAGAGTGGGGGCTGGGACACATGTCTGGCTGATGACGTCTTGGGACAACAGAATGGCATTGTTAGAGAATAGGTCGTCACTGGCTCTACTCATCCTCTTCCCACTCCTGGGACCCTAGGGCTGGGGGCACCAGGCACAGAGCACCGAGAGGCCTGGGTAGGTGAGCTTCCCTGTGTCCTGCTATGACGGGAGGACATTGTAAGGGATTTGGACTGGAGCATCCCGGTCCAGGCTGAGCATAGGTTCTTCCCAGTCTTGTCTGCCTCCAGTTCTTCCTAAGACCAACTAGTGGGCCCATTCTGCCATCAGCTGGGGCTCTCCTCCATTCCCTGACCTCTGCATCCGTTTCTGTTTCTTGCCCTCTACCTCTAAACACCAGGTGTCCATAGTAATGGCTCCTCTTTGGGTGGCAATTCCCAAAGGGAGCTGAAGTTTTCTGGAAGGGGACTTTCCTAGACTGTGTGGTTAACTAGACAAAGGAAGACACACTGGTAATTGGAAAATCATGGGATGGCCATGCAAATAAGGTCAGAATGGAGAGGTGAAGGTTGAGCTGAGGAGAGAGGGGAAAAAGCAATGGACTGAGAACTTGGAACTGAATAGCTTCCAACTCCTACCTTGTCTCGTGTAATCTCAGATTCAGGCTGAGGAGGTAGGGCCTCACGTCCCTGTAGGAATGAGGCAGGCCCAGGGCCCATGAGGGAGGAAGAGGTGAGTCAGAATGTGTGCTGAGGGGGACTTGGAGGGGAACTTCAGAGTGGGGTCAGGTGCGGTTCCATGGATGGTCCAGTGAGAAGGTCTCTTGCTTGGGTCTTCATCAGACAGCCTCCTACTTAAATCCACATTGTTGGGGTCCAAGTTGACTTCTCAACTCTCTCCCATTTCTTCCAGATCACCTCTCCCTCTGGCTCAAACTTTTTCACTTCTTGATTATCATTGCATTCAACATTTGAGCGTACGACACTTCACTAGGTTTGGAAAATGGATAGGACACATTCCTACTCTCAAGGGCTTACGTTCTGAGGGGGAAAATGTACCCAAATGCATATACACTAGGCCCTCTGCACCTACAGATTCAATCACTTTTTCTTTTTTTTGTCTGTGGTGCTAGGATGGAACCCAGGGCCTTGCTCATGCTAGACGAGTGTTCTTCCCACCAAGTTATATTCCCAGCCCTTGCTTCAGCAAATTCAACCAAACCTTGGAGAGGAAAGAATTTTTTAAAAGTTCTGTTGTTGCTGACATGTGCTGTGTGGTTAAGCACACGATGGTCGTGTTGTTATTTCCTAAACAATACGGTAACAACTATTTACACAGCGTTCACGTTGAATTGGGTCTCACAAGCCATCTAGAGATGTGTGTAAATTATAGGCAAACACCACACCACTGTATATAAAGGACCTGAGCATCTGTGCATTCCCATAGCTGTGGAAGTCCTGTGCAATCCCCTTCCCAGACGGGAGGGATGACTGGATGTGGTTAAAGATGAGCTTGGTGAAGGTCACCAGAAGGGGACAGACCAGTGCAAAGGGAGCACAGAGGAGGAAGCTGCCATATCTGATTTCAGCTGAGAGCAGTCAGAGGCTGCCCCAAATGACTCTAGTCCCTCCCATGCTGGCACCTTCTCTCCAGGAGCAAAGGCAGGTATACTGGAAGGTTCTCTGTAGTTTTCTACAGTTATGTAGGTACATGGATGAATATAGGTGAACTGAAGTGTCTGAGAACACTAAGCTCTGACACGCCCCATGCTCCACTCACTCCTGCCTCAACAAACACACACTCATCGACTTGCATGTCTACTTACATGAAGGCATCGTGGTAGTTAAAAAGATGGCCAGGCTCCAAGTCTCGAAAGAGCCACTTTCCGCAGATTTTGGCTTCCTCATCTCATTGCCAGGAGCCTCAGCTGGAGGGAGGACCCACAAGTGCTTAGTGAATATTGCTTCCCACACATGACTGCTCTCTTCTTCCTCTGTGGTCACCGCCCCAGGCATACCCCCCACCTCCCAAGAAAAACCAGGAGGAGCCATAAAACTTGAAGAACCACATAATTTAGTGGTAAGAGCCTGGGGCTATGTTCTTGGCCAAGCTTTCTGCCTTTTAACCCTGTGTAATCTTCTGGCAATGATTGGCCATGCTGCCTCAGTTTACTTTTTTGAAAAATGGGAGAATTACCCCCATCATGCTAAAGGGTGATAATGAGCAAAAGAGATATATTGCTTTGGAAACTGAATGGTGTGTTTAACAAGTGGGATTATTGTGATTAAAAAAAAAATACATAGCAATATAGGGCAACTCCTCAAGATCACAAGCATCAGAGAGGCTGTGAACTTCCTCCTAGCAGAACAGGACAGAATCTACCAGAAGGTGTGTCCAACCATACTGTGTATCATTCCCATCTCCATCATGAAGGCACCTTCATCTGAGAGGGTGTTTGGGGAGAAACCTATGGGATTGATGGGTCTCCTCATGGTCCCCTCTGTGGTCTCTGATCCTTCTTCCAACCCTTATTAGCATTAGGAGCAGGGATGGAGAAATGGCTTAAGGGGCACTCATCCCAGCTCTCCTCTGGCTTGGTTGGACAAATCACATCAGAGCTCTGGGACTCTGTCACATGAACAGATTAGACTCAATTTCTGGGGACTTTCTAATCTTAATCTTCTGATTTGAGCTTTTCCTCAAGAATGTCTGTATTCTGCTATTTTCCCCAGCACTAAAAACAAAACTTGACTTGTGTACAGGGAACACACAGATATTTAAGTACATGAGAACCAAGAGAGGAGTGTGGGGTCCAGGGGCAGAGAGGAGGGAAGTCAAAGATCCTTACTTGGTGGCCTAGAGGTGGCCTGAGTGGAAAATCATTGACTTGTCTTCTCAGCAAAAAAAAAAAAAAAAAAAAGGAGCCGGTTTTGTGCCAGGAACCCCATAGATGGGTTCTATAATCAATATTGAATGTAGACTTCAATTTCATAATTAATTGAACAGTAAAACAAAAAATTCTAGGACCTGAAAACACCTTTCCTAGTGGGATAATTTCAGATTTGCTCTATAATTCTTTTTGCTACTTAACCAGTGGGAGCTTAAATGGCTTCATCTTTTTGTTTCCTCCTTAGTTGAGTATTTCATGATCTGTATGTATGGCAAATTTCTAATTCTCTTTCGTGTGAAGAATCCTTTTTTTCTTTTTAAAATAGATCATGAACACTTGTACCTGGAAGTCAGAGTTTCTCCACTTTGGCATGATTAACATTTGGGGCAGGGTAGCTCTCTGGTGGGTGCCATCCTGTACGGGATGTTTAGTAGCATCCCTTCCCTCTGCCAGGAGCACACCCCTGTCCCTCAGTAGTGATCTAAACTCCTCTGATGGGCTGCCATTGGAGAATCTACAAGCATCTTTGATGCTCTTTGCACATTCCTTATGGAGCCTGAGGATCCTCAGAGATTTGGGGGTCTGCCTCCGCACTACCAAGAACCAGAACTTGGGCTTTCTCTGCTGTCCCCTGGTGGCCCCATTTTATTATTACAAGTAATGTCTCTCCCTGATACCATGGAACCCATTCACACGCCTACCCAACTTTTTGTTGGATTCTGGAGTTTGCAACCAGAAGAGGCGATTTTCAAAAAAAACTTTGCTGGGTTGGATTATAAGTTGTTTCTTCACCCAGAATGTGCTCTGGTTAGGTTATCAGATAAAATCCAGGATACCCAGTTCAAGATGAATCTCAGATTAACAAAGAGTAAATTATTAGTGTTAGAGTATCACAAATATTGCTTGGGATATATATTTAAAAAAACAGTTATGGATGTAAAATTAAAAATTAACTGAGCATCTTGTAGTTTTACTTTACAAATCTGGCAAACCTAGGTTCTCTCCAGTCCCACTAGAATATCTACAGAAGCAAGAAAAGGAAGATATAGGGATTGGAGGCTTGAGGGGGGACATCTGCAGGCTTCAGAGATGAATAGGGCCCTTTCCTTGGGTCTAGGAATAGACAGATGCTAATTACAACCCAAAGAATGAGATGCGGGAATAAAAGTAAAGCCAAAGGAGAGAGTAAAGAATATGCTGGGGAGGGTGTGTATATGTGAGTGTGCCCCGTTCTAGTGCAGGTTCTGAATATCTACAGAAGAGGAGTTTGGGCAAATGGCCGGAGGGGTGGTGGTGATGGGGAAGGAGGTGTTGGAAGCTTTTCTGCAGCTATTTTTGCATGCCAAGCATACTGTTTTTCGTTTAGATATATGTTTGCTTAAGGCTGGCTCAGGGGATGGCTACTAGAGAAAATAAGGAGGGGCAGTAAAATCAGGCCACCTTTTTGGCCCTGCTAGGGATTCATCCATTGCACAGCTAGCTCTGGTGAGCGCCCACTGCATTCTCAGCTTCTCCCCCAGCATCGCAGTGCAGAATAGACAATGAACAATTCAGGGCCCTGCAGTCAATTCTAGGAGGTGGGAGCCCTGTGGGCGCAGGCATAGGGAAATCCATGTGCTCTGCGGAGCTGAGACGTGTGTGGTGAGACCAAAACGCAGGGTGGAAGGAGTGAGTGGGAGGAGCAGCAAATGGAAAAATAGTTGTACAAAGACCGTAAAGGACCTCTGTGTTCCCTCTCCTTGGGCACTGAGGGACCCATCCTAATATGATAAGCTGTGATTGCAGGTGGCATTTAGAAAGGTTGTCTTGGCAGCCTCCGGAAGAAGGGATTAGGGGTATGTAGGTTGCAGGGGCACTAGTTAGGAGAATATTTTGCTAATCTTGGGCTAGAGAATGAGGACGTGACTTAATGAAGGTTAGCAGGAGCAAAAAGGAAAGGAATGAATGGAGATGGAACTTGGATGTTGGAGTGACCAGCCTGGTGGCTGCCCATGTGGCCTGGAGGGGAAGAAGGAGCTATGGCTGGGGAGATGTCCAAGTTATTTCTCCTCTTCTGGATTACCCTCCCAACCCCGGTTTCACAGTAGGTTTCTTGTAATTACACTGCTGGCACTTCAGAATAAGAACTCCAGTTGATGTTTTCTGTTTGTTTGTTTTCGTATATCACGTAATTGGCCACATATAAATAAATAGGATTATTTCATTCACTCCTATAGAAAGACCAAATGTCTCAAGGCTGAGGGAGAAAATTGGATAGAAGGTGATCCATATGTCTTAGTTGGAAAAAGTTGTGATCTGATGAGATTTTTAGTTCATTGTCAGAATAACACTAGAGAAATCTGGAGAGTCATAGAAGATAATTTTCCCCTAAAGCAAGTGAAAAGCAGATATAATAAAAAAGGAAAGACTAAGGACAAGAAAATACAAAATTTTAAAAAAGATCCTATGAATCCAAAATCAGGGAAGCCCAAAAAGAACAAAAGGAAAGAATGGGGACATTCAAACCTGCATGGCATTCAATGAATGAACCCTACTAATTAGATTTTCCAGCTTCTCTGCATCTATCATTGCTGGCCATAGTTTATATTTTTACAAGTGCTAAGCTCTAGTGTGTGCTGTTTGAAAGTGGAGTTTCCTGAGCATGCCTAGATCCATCACCTTTGGTAATTTGCATGCACGGAGCATACTCAAATAGCTACTGACTTGAGTGATGCTCCTCAAAATTTTAATATGCACAAGAATCAGTTGGAATTTTCTTAAATTACAGACCCTGGTTTTCCAGGTCCAAGGGTGGGCCTGAGAGTTCATATTTCTTATCAGTGCTCATAAGATGCTAATGATTTCTTTAAGAAGAAACGGCATAAAAATAACATGTGAGAAGAAAGAAGAGAGACAGGAAGAGAGAGAGAGAGAGAGAGAGAGAGAGAGAGAGTGTGTGTGTGTGTGTCAGGCCTTTACAAACAAGCAGCTCTCACTTTTGGACTGAACCCCAAAGATGCTACCCTCAGGAGGAGGAAAAAGCTAGAATAAAAGGAATTTCTGAGAAGGTCAAATAGGCAGAGCATCACAACAGGAAAAAACTGGTTAGCCTCTGCATGTTGACTTCCTCCACAAACATGAGGGAGGAACTTCTTGTACCCCTAGTCCATGCAAAACAAGGCTTATCCTGAAGGCAATCTCAGGGCAGCCAGGAGGCTAACCCAGGACCACTCCAGAGGTAAACAGGTCAGGAGGTGAATGCATACTGAGAACAACTCCTCCCCTCTCACCTGATATGCAAGATAACACTAACACGCACTGTACATTCTGGTCCGGCACTCAGGGTATGGCCAGCCAGTCATGACCCTCTCCTACCGACTGGCCAGGTGAAGAAAGACTAGGTGACCTTTGCTCTGCCATGGTCCCACCTGCCTGGGTCAAGGGCCTTGGGGTCCATCACAGCCCAGATACAGGTTCTGAAGGACAAAGCCTCACCACTTGATCCACCACTGAGCGTGCTCACTGTCACCACTTCTCTTCTCCCATTCCCTGGTAGGATCTGGGAGTCTCCTCTCCTTCTAGCAGCCAAAGAAAATGATGTCCAGGTTCTGAGCAAGCTGCTCAAGTATGAGGCCTGTGAGGTGCACCAGAGAGGTAAGGATCAGAGCCCAGCACCCATCCATCTACTGGGTCAGCCCCAGACACAGGACTTCCCAGGAGAGCCCAGGACCTTCAGTCTGTACTGTCCCCACTCGTCTGCTCCATAGAATCCAGGTGACTCTTTTCTTTACAAATGCCAGGAGCCATGGGGGAAACAGCGCTGCACATAGCAGCCCTCTACGACAACCTGGAGGCCGCCATGGTGCTGATGGAGGCTGCCCCAGAACTGGTCTTTGAGCCCATGACATCTGAGCTGTATGAAGGTGAGGGCCCGTGGGTCCAGCCAGGGTAAGAGATGGGGTGCACTGAGATATTTCCAGCTACCTCTGTAAGGGATCATTTGGGGAAACCAGAGGGAGCATATGAGCATCCCTTCTCTTTATTCCCTTCCCAGGAATTCTCCTTTCTTCCTTGACTTCCTCACATTCCTAGAATACCTGGCTTCTGAAACCCAGAGGCCAAGAGGAAGAGATGGGGGTCAGCTTGGTCCCCTGGGAACCCTGAACACCCAAGCAATTCCAGTCCTCCATCCCAGTCTGCCCTTAGGAAGGAGACCATGGGTTCGCTAGTGAGGTCTCTTCAGGGTACTGGGGGCACTTTGTGACTGATGGCTCTCTCTGGGCCAGGTCAGACTGCCCTGCACATCGCTGTCATGAACCAGAACGTGAACCTGGTGCGCGCCCTGCTTTCCCATGGGGCCAGCGTCTCTGCCAGAGCCACAGGCACCGCCTTCCAACGCAGTCCCCACAACCTCATCTACTATGGTGAGGGCAGGGCCAGGCTGGGAGGAAGGGGAGGTGGAGAGCCAGGTCGAGGACAAGGAGCTGGACTAAGCAGGGCCTTGCCCTCAGCTCCATCTGTGGGGGAAGCAGAAGGGCAGCCCTTACAGGACTTAAGGCCACAGGCCAATTCCCAGGACCCTCTTCAGTGTCCTTCGTCTGGTTCTGCTGGACAAGTGCCCTATGCCCTGAGCTGAGATGTGGGAGGAGCAAGCAGGCAGTCACCTGGGAGAAACTGCCCCCTCTCAGCTCGTGACCCTGTGGTCTCCTGCCATGGATCTCTCTGTGTCCCCAGGGGAGCACCCTTTGTCCTTTGCTGCCTGCGTGGGCAGCGAGGAGATTGTGCGGCTGCTCATTGAGCATGGAGCTGACATTCGGGCCCAGGACTCTCTGGGTAAGAGCTGAGATGGGAGGGGGTGCTGGGATGTGGCTGGGGGTGTGAGGGAGGACCCGGGGGGGGACCACGGGGTCCTTTAGACCTGTGTCCACATGCCAGCCCGTGTCCTCCCCAGGAAACACAGTGCTGCACATCCTCATCCTGCAGCCCAACAAAACCTTTGCCTGCCAGATGTATAACCTGCTGCTGTCCTATGATGGAGGGGACCACCTGCAGCCCCTGGAGCTCGTGCCCAATCACCAGGGCCTCACCCCCTTCAAGCTGGCTGGAGTAGAGGGCAACACTGTGGTGAGAGGCTCCCCAGCCCTAAGGTGCCTCTCTAGTGACCCATATCCTACTTTGCTGCCCTGGGAGGAAACAGATGTTAATGCCCATTCCTGATGCCTGGGTCCCTTTGCCAGCTCAGATTGGGGTTTTCCTCCTGATTTTTATCTTTCTTGTTCCTGTTCCATTTCCTGCCCACTTTCTCTGACCTGAGTATTGGGGATTTAATCTAGATCCAGGCTTGGTGTCTGTAATGCCCGGGGCCATGTATCCTACCCAGAGCAGCTTCCCTTCTCTCCTCTTCCTTCCTGAGCTCTGGAGAGAGTCATGGGGAAGGAAGATGAATTTGACATCAGAGTGAACATGGCTGATGCTGCCTCTTAAATTAGGGCCACTGCCCTCTCCAGGGCTGCTCTCCTCCTGGATGTGCTCCTGCTCCACCCTTTATGGCATGCCCTCTGCCTGCAGCTCCTGATGCTCTCCACCTTCCCTCAGATGTTCCAGCACCTGATGCAGAAGAGGAAGCACATCCAGTGGACATACGGGCCCCTGACCTCCACCCTCTACGACCTCACAGAGATCGACTCTTCAGGGGATGAGCAATCCCTGCTAGAACTTATTGTCACCACCAAGAAGCGGGAGGTATGGGGGTCTCCCCAGCAGAGGTGGCCGGGAGGATGTGCCAGGGTCTCAGAGTCACCTGTTCTACTCTTTCTGCTGCAGGCTCGCCATATCCTGGACCAGACTCCAGTGAAGGAGCTGGTGAGCCTCAAGTGGAAGAGGTATGGGCGGCCCTACTTCTGCGTGCTGGGTGCCATCTACCTACTGTACATCATCTGCTTTACCATGTGCTGTGTCTACCGCCCCCTCAAGCCCAGGACCACTAACCGCACCAACCCCCGGGACAACACCCTCCTCCAGCAGAAGCTCTTCCAGGTGATCCCCCAGGAGTGGAGGACTAACAGGGCAGGATGCTGCTCTCTGCTCTTTCTCAGTTTGGTCCCACTGCCCTGTTCTCAAATCCACATTTCTCCCCTCACATGTCTGATATATGGGTCCAGAGTCAAAGCACACACACACAGAAACACACACACACACACACACTCTAGGAGCAGCCTGAGACTAACCAGACCTAAGGGGTTAGAAAGGTCTGGGCTTGTGGCTGTAGGCTCCAGGAAAGACAGAACAGATGCATGAGAGCCCTGGATGCTCTGAGCCATCTTTTTCTCCCCTCAGGAGGCCTATGTGACCCCCAAAGATGACCTCCGGTTGGTGGGGGAACTGGTGACCGTCATTGGCGCTGTGATCATCCTGCTGGTAGAGGTGAGGTGTGGATGCAATCCACAGTGAAGCTGTTGTCCCAGGGATCCAGGCTAATGCAGGTCTTCAAGTGCCTTTGTGTCTCCCCAACTTCTCTTCAGATACCAGATATCTTCAGGTTTGGTGTCACTCGCTTCTTCGGACAGACCATCCTTGGCGGACCGTTCCATGTCATCATGTGAGTCTCGGATCTCTCACTCCCATCCCTTTCCTCTTAGGGCTCCAGTTTCCTTCCCTGGATCCCTGACTTTCTAATCTTAACTCCAGACATCCTTCTCCAGGGATGTGTGTCCCAATGTGTGCACAGGCCGAGTCTGAATGTGTGGGGACTGTCCCAGTTACACCCTTGCTGCCTGGTGGCTTGTATAATCCCAGCCCTCTACTCATCACCTCCCTTACTGCTCTCCTCCTAGCGTCACCTATGCGTTCATGGTGCTGGTGACCATGGTGATGCGGCTCACCAATGCAGATGGGGAGGTGGTACCCATGTCCTTTGCCCTGGTACTGGGCTGGTGCAATGTCATGTATTTTGCCCGAGGATTCCAGATGCTGGGCCCTTTCACCATCATGATCCAGAAGGTCAGTGCTTTCCCCCCATGCTTCCTAGAGAGAGGTCCCAGAACCAAGCTTTTGTAGAGGGCCAAATACTCAATACTTCAGGTTTTGTAAACCATACATGGTACCTGTTGCATATTCTTCTTTACTTTAAAAAAACAATCCCTTAAAAATGTTGAAACCATTCATCCATCCAATATTAAAACCATTCAAAAGCCACAACAGGCCAGGTAGATTTGACCTGCAGGTTATGGTGTGCTGACCTGTATCTTGGGGCATGGAGCTGTTAGAATAACTGGTGCTAGACCTGCTAGCTCTGGATGGAGCAACTGCTAAGAGAACGTGTGATGTTCTCTTTGTCTCATCCCCTTTTAGATGATTTTTGGTGACCTGATGCGGTTCTGCTGGCTGATGGTTGTGGTCATCCTGGGCTTCGCTTCAGGTAAATTGCCTATCCAAAATGGGGGCCATGGAGGAAGGGGTTGGGGGGACCTACAGGGTATGGAATGCCTCTGGCTAAACTTGAGGGAGGGAAGGAAGGAGGGGGGGAAGGCAAAAGTCAAAGGAGGCCGGGAAATGTCTGAGGATGCCATATCCCTCAGAGGTAAGGGAAAATTGGGAGTCTCGGGAAAATGGCTCTTGGGATCAGGAGGCTGAATCTTGTAGAAAATGTGGAACAAAAGAACCTGGAAAAAAGGAGAGTTGTGGGCTGAGATGGTGATCCTGGAGATGAAGGGAATAGGAAGGCAATGTGCAGCAATGAGCTGGCTGTGGGCTGGTCATGATACAGTTGCCATGGTAACTCTCACCCCCTTGGGTGGAGCAGCCTTCTATATCATCTTCCAGACAGAGGATCCCGACGAGCTGGGCCATTTCTATGATTACCCCATGGCACTGTTCAGCACCTTCGAGCTGTTCCTCACCATCATTGATGGTCCTGCCAACTATGACGTGGATCTGCCCTTCATGTACAGCATCACCTACGCTGCCTTTGCCATCATCGCCACGCTGCTCATGCTCAACCTCCTCATCGCCATGATGGGCGACACTCACTGGCGAGTGGCTCATGAGAGGGATGAGCTCTGGAGGGCTCAGGTGAGCTCCCAGTGGCTGGGTAGGTTCTTGTAAGTCATCCTCTTCCTGCCCAAGAAATGCCTATGCTCAGGTAGAAGCAGGTATTCTGGCCCTATGTGTGTTGGATAATTATTGCACAGTAAGCAAAACAATGCCAAGTGTGCAGAAGAATTGGATTAGCAATACCATAGAGAAATACTGGACTCTCCGGAAAGAATTCCTCATTGTTTTCCCGATACTGAAAACCTTAAATCTCTTCTAGAATACTCAACAGGAATCAAAGCTGACAGTGGCCAAAACTACATTCAGTCAATTTTGCTTCCAAGTGAGAATGGAAGTTTCAAATTTTCTTGACAATATTTAAGTCTGCAAAATCTGACCCAGAAAAAATGGAAGTGTTAAAAATAAGAACCTATCTTCAGCCATATGATGAAGATGGGCATAAGACAATTAGATGAATCAAATCCCCATTTAAAAATATACTTAGAAGAGAATTGAGATCAACAAAGATAATTTCAGCAAAATAAAAATGGAAATTCCAAACACTAGAAGGCATTTAACTATGAAAACAGTGAAACCTAAGCTGACTAAATGAGATTTGCTCCGGGAAATATTTTCTCCTTGAAAATGTACTGATACTAGATTTGCAAGTAGGTATTTACGTCTATAAGTGGCCATTATGTGGGGTCAGGTTATTCTGAGGCCCTGAAGACTCCTTTCTGTTTACTTCCCTCCTCTCCCTATCCTCCTTGGAAAAGGTCTCTCCTTCTAAGGAGAATCTCCACATCCCAGCTTCACTCTGCCTGGCTTTGCCACGAACGTCACATTATTGGATGAAGATGTGTGGGGCTCAAGTCCCATCAAACTCTTCCTCAGAAGAGGCTCAACAGAGTTCAAACCACCATTCCAGATCAGGGGTGTGGCTCACCCTTCTGGGAAGCCATGAGCTGAGTTTCCTGGCTGTTGTAAAACTCGTCTCTGCTGGGCCTGCCCTTCTTCCCCCATTCTTCTCAATCTACATTGCCTGGTCTGTACCTGGGCTCCTTTCTGACTCTCCCCTTTGTCCTCACATGCAGGTGGTAGCCACCACGGTGATGCTGGAGCGGAAATTGCCTCGCTGCCTGTGGCCTCGCTCCGGGATCTGCGGGAGCGAGTACGGGCTGGGGGACCGCTGGTTCCTGCGGTAAGTCATGGTGCTGGGTAGGCGTCCCCTGAGCAACCACTTTTGCAGGGGACCCCTTGGCTCAGACAACCTCTGGCTCCCAAGGGCCCCATGGAGACCTGGGGTGTCCCCTAGGCCCCATATCCACTGACTGGATCATGACTCCTGAGAAAGTGGCCCCATCAGGAGCATCCTAAGAGCTGGTGGACCAGAGCCGGCTATTTCCTGGGCCCTGGCTGCGGAGGGCCAGGTGTCCCATGCCCATGACAGTTGCAGAGGGTAAAGGCCAATAGTGGTGGGGCTGGGAAGCAGGTGGATAGGAGAGAGGCATTGGCCTTGCCTCTCTTCTTCGGCTCCTGCTCCCCCTCACGTCCTGCTCCTGCACTCCACAGAGTGGAAGACAGGCAGGATCTCAACCGGCAGCGAATCCGTCGCTACGCACAGGCCTTCCAGCCGCAGGAAGTCCTCTGCTCTGAGGGCTTGGACAAAGACTCAGGGGGAAAACCAGAGCGGTGCCGTCCCTTGGGCCCCCACCTGTCCTTTCCTACACCCTCCGTGTCTCGAAGCACCTCCCGGAGCAGCATCAACTGGGAAAGGCTCCGACAAGGGACCCTGCGGAGGGACCTGCGGGGGATGATCAACCAGGGCCTGGAGGACGGGGAGGGCTGGGAATACCAGATCTGAGCGCTCACGCCCACTGCGAGCACGGAAACCAAACAGGGCAACACCAACAAGAACCGAGGGGTCTCATCTCCCAGGTCCAAGGGGGAAAGGGGCAGACCATGAACGCTAAGCACTTGGGGAATTACTGCTCCAGGCCTCCAGGATGCCTGGAGCTGGGCAAAGAGAAGCTGAGGCGACGGTCCTTCCTCCTTCTCTTGCGGAAGTCCCACTGCACGTCAGAGCACTTTAAGGACAGGTTTGCCTTCTCAGGCACCTGTCTCCACCCCTGTGTAATAAGTAGGAAGGGAGAGAGCCCTTTCCAGGGTGCTCCAGACAGTTGAAGGGGGAAGCGCTGGGTTTATGGAAAGGTGCCCGGGAGAGGGAGACAGGCACCTCTCTAGGAGTGAAAAAGCTGGGCTGAGTCTCACCACCTTCCAATAAAGTCATTTCCTGCTCCCTGTCCCACGGCCTGGTGTCTGCCCGCCCCCTCCTCCACTCCGCCCCTCCTTGCAGACTGAGGTCTGGACACACCTGAACGTTCAAATTCCCTTCCCTTTAATGTAGAGGAGGCTGGCAGAGGCTGGAGGACTGGGGAAATGCAGCGTCCAGAGGAGGGTTGGGAGAATGCAGCAGGCACAGAGGGAGCCTGGCTCACATCTCGCGCATCCCTCCTCCTCGGACCTGTGTCCGGGGCTGGGTCTCCGGCATTGTGGGCTCCCAGCTTCCTGCCCAGACCTCACTCACACCTCCACTGAGCCTGGCTGCCTCAGATGCTGCCGGAGGAGCTGGATGTTGTGCAGCAGTTTCTTCTGGTGGCCAGCCAGGGTGATGCCCAGGGCAGGCAGGTCTCTGGCGGGGAAGGAGTGGGTCAGAGCTGGGCCAGTTTCTCTAAGATCCCAGACACCCGCTCTCCTGGGGCCTGGAGCTCCTGCCCACCCCGCCACCCCTGCTTACTCCAGGCTGAGCTGAGCCACATCACTGAAGGTGCAGAGGCCGAACTTGGAGAAGTTGTCCTGGTAGCACTCTAGTCCAATGGCCGAAAGCCAGGCCTGGGGCGAGTCCAGACAAGGAAAGTCCAGGACCACAGGGTTCAGGAGGGCCTGGGAAGGTCTAAGGTGAGGAGGGGCAAGCAGGTCAAGTTCTCCTCTTCATCTTAGCCCTCTCGCCTCAGCTTTCTTTTTGGCTTTCATTGACCCTCCCTGGCTTTCCCAGGTTCCAGCCCCAAGTTCCAGACCTGTCCCCCGCGCCCCCATCAGCTTGCAGGGTGTCTGGCTTGCGGATCATCTTGTCAAATGCAGCCACCAGCTGGTCAAAGTGAGGCCGCCGGGCACGGTCCTTCTGCCATGTGTCCAGCATCAGCAGATGTAGTCCAGGAGGACAGCCTGGAGGCGGGGGCAGCCGGAACTCCTGCTCTATTGCATTTAGTACCTGGGGGTCAGGGGAAGCATCTGGTGACAGAAAGCTCTTGCTAGTCGCGGGGAGCGTTAGGAAAGCAGGGATGGACTGTAATCTGGTGCCACATGATATCTGAGAATGTGAGTGGAAGGGACGTCTTGGAATATGTGGGCCCGGGAGGGATCATGGTAAGCTCACCTCTTGCTCACTCATGTCCCAGTAGGGCCGTTCTCCATAGCTCATCACTTCCCACATAAGTATCCCAAAGCTCCAGACGTCGCTGGATGTCGTATGCTTTCCGTGTGCAATGACCTCTGGGGCTGCCCAGCGAAGCAAGCAACTTGAGCCCTGAGGAGCGAAGTCAAATGCAGCACTAACAATAATCCCAGCGAGAGTCACATTTACTGAACAACTACTCTGGACTCGGACGTATGTTAAGGGTTTCACACTGAACATCTCATTGAATCCCCTGAACACCCGTGTAGGGTGGACATCAGGATGCAGAAGTGAGGCATAAAGAATATGAACTTGCTGGAGATGTGCTGGGGCATTCTGGATTTGTCCCCAGCTGTCCTAATTCTGGAGCCTGTGAATCCTCCACATTAGGGGGAAGGCAGGAGTGGGTACCAGTCTGACACTCCTGCCCTCTCAAGCCCCCTTTCTTTGCCTTAGTCCCTGAGATCCTTCAACTGCCCCTTGCTCAGGCTCCTTTCTCCCCAACACACGGGTGAGCCTCCAACCCCCAGATGCTGTGCTATCCTACCTGGCGCCCACCCCAGATTCCAGCTCACCCCAGAGCCCCTGCTGAGGGAAGCTAAGCCTCAGGCTCTGCACTCACCTGAGGACTGTGGCCAAGACGGGCCACCTTGCACACCAGGTGGCTATTCACCAGCACGCTCCCGGCAGAGAGCGCTCGGTGCACAAAGGCAAAGCTGGACAGGTACTGCATGGCGGCGGCCACGCCCCGCTGCATGGCCACCAGCTGTAGGCTGCTGAACTGGCCCTCCCGTTGCTGAGGGGCAGAGGACAGAGGTCAGCAACAGAGTGGAACCTGGGCACACTGAGCAGCAGACACTAGCATGAGAGGGCCGTTTGGGGCAGAATTTGGGATCACACAGGCCTGGGAAAGAAGGATGAAGACCACCATGGGAGGCAGGGGGAGGGAGCAAAGGTATAGCAAAGAGGTGAGGCCCCCAAGCTTTCCTGCACCCACGCACCCTCCTCCTCCACCCCAGCTGGACTGACCCTGAGGAAGCTGTCCAGGGGGCCGAGCTCCATGAGCTCTGTCAGCACCATGAGGGGACGGCTCTTGGTGACCACACCCTCCAGCCGCAGGATGTTGGGGTGCTGGAACTGGCCCAGGAGTGCGGCACGGCCCAGGAAGGTCATCTGCAGGCCCTCGGCACCCCCAGCCCACAGGGCCTGGATGGCCACGGCCTGCTCCCGCCGTCCCCGGGGCTGTAGTCGGCCCCTGCGCACTTCTCCAAAGGAGCCTGCAGAATGGGAGCAGGTGGCATGGGGGTCAAGGAAGGACCGTGGGCTCACAGTGTCCTACTGTGCTTACAGGGATTCCTGGCTAAGGAGGATTACCAGGAACCCCCAGTCCCTCCTTGTCCCTGCAGTACCTGCCCCAATGACCTCTTCAATCTTGATATACGAAGGGTCGACCTCCCGGGCAAGCTCTCGGATGGCCTGGCAGGGGTCATCGTATGTGGAGGGGTCTGTGTAGTACTTTACCCCAAGTCCTGTAGGGAGGAGTGGGCTCTTGGGGTGTGGTGCAAGGCTGGGTGCCCACATGCCCGAGACGTGCCCGCTTGCTTCTGGAAGCCAGTGTGAAGGAGCCCTTCAACCCTGCCAGGCACGCACCCAGCCCCCAGACCCCCAGGCCCAGTCCTGCTCCCTCCTCCTGCCCACCTGGGCTGCTGTACTGCTGCAGCTGCTCTGTGTAGCCTGTGCCTCGCCGCTTCCTGCGGGACAAACGGGTGACCTGGAACAGTGGCCCCATCTCCACCCCTGTGCTGTCTCCCCACGTCCCACTGTGGCACGGGGTTCAGGGTGGGGCTGGGGTAGTGGGAAAAGGCTGTCTATGGGGGGGGGTCCGCAGGGGTATCCAGGACATGAATGGTGCTGGGCAGGTTGGGGAGGCTGGGGCACAGGGGCCTCACCGCTGGAAGATGACAGCCAGGACGGTGATGGCCGCCAGCAGGAGGAAGGCCAAGGCTCCCAGGATGGAGCCAATCACCAAGGACAGCTTCTCTGGAAGCTGAGAGGACAGTTCACCTGGGGGACCAGGCCTCACACATGAGTGTGTGAAAGCATCTCATTACCCTAGGCACCCCCACACCACACACACACACACACACACACACACCCCACCTCACAGACCCACCCACACACATGAACACACAACAGGCATGTGCACACCTGACTACGAATCCACACCTAGGCATGTGTATGCACATATATACACTTAGTGCTGTACACGCACCCACAACCCCTACAGCCCTACACATGCAACTTGCATATCCACGTGACCCACACATTCACCCCTGCACACCCTCCCCGGCAGCCCCTGAGGTCAAGGGTCAGCCACGGTACCATCCTCACATCCTCCTTTCTCAGAGTCTCTGGTCCCGGAGATGCCGGGTCAAGGTTCAAAGCCTGGACAGTCTTGACCTGTCCTCAGTGTTCCCTTAGACACCCAGTTCCCCTCCAGGCACCCCCTCACCTTGAGGCAGCGTCTGGAAATAGACCTTGCCCCCATAGGGGCCGTGGCCAGCAGCAGTCCTCGCCCGCACCTGGAAGCCGTAGATGTGGCCAGGACTCAGCCGTGTCACGGTGGCAGTGTTGGTCTCGCTGGTCAGAGTGAAGGAGTGGGATTCGTCTTCTGCCTGGGGGCAACAGCCACTCACTGCCTGCGCAGCCTGCTCCTCTTGCCCCTGCTCTTACCCCCAAGCTCTCCTCAGCTGATGTGGCCGTCAAACACATCCCCGGTGCTGCAGTCCCTTGGGACTGCCCATTGCCTCATGCGACCCCCATGCTCTCCTGTGGGGACTTCCAGCTCCTACCAGCCCTGCTGTGGTGCCCCCTGCTCCTTGCCCACCTGGTCATAGTAGCGGAGCTGGTAGTCAAGGATGTTCCCATTGGTCTGGTCAGGCTGTGGCCAGGACACAGTGATGCTGTTGGCGGCCCTGCTCACTTGGTGCACCACAGGGACTGCAGAGGGGACTGGATTGCAGGAGGGATTATTAGGGGGATAGGAGTCTCTGGGAGCAGAAACATCCCTGGTGGGTGGAGGGCATGGAGCTTAGACTATGGATTCTAAGGCAGCCTGATTGGAGGGCAGGTTTGGGAAAGGCGGGCAGGGGGTTCTAAGGAGTTATGGGAGATGTCACTAAGCTGGATAAACGGGCTTACCTTCATGACTGGTGCTGACATTGATGGCTGCAGCGTGGGGAGGGTCAGAGCTGAGCTCAGACACCCCATTGACAGCCTGCACCTCCAGGATGTAGGGTACATGTGCTCGGAGCCCCCCGACTAACACTCGACTCTCCGTCAGGCCCCTCTGGCGGGGGTCAAAATGCACCTCATCCCTGCAGCGGCGACACGGGCTCCCACTGCCAGGCTCCTGATGCCCACCACATTCCTTGCACACGACGTTGAAGAGCAGGTCACCTCGTCCGCCCAGCTCCTGTGGCAGGCGCCAGTGCAACATGAGCACTGAGCCCTGCACCTCAAACCAAAGCTCCCGGGGTGCTGATGGAGGGCCTGGGTGCCGTCAGGTGCAGTGGGAGGGTGGCAAGGTGGGAGGGTGGAGATGAGGTGAGGAAGGAAGGAGGCGAGGAGGGTTGACCATGCAGAGGAGGAGGGACGAGAGCATGGGGTTGGGGCAGGAAACAGAGGAGGCAGGTGGGAGGAGAGAGGGAGGTGTGGCAGGGAGGGGAAAAAATAAGGAAATATAACAAAAAAAAAAGAAAGTCACTCCAAATGCAAAAAGCACCCAACGTGGCAGCAGGCTCCCCTGCCTCCAGCCCCACTCCCAGACTCTTTTCCATGCTGGGCTGGGA